TTGCGGGCTCAAATATGGCGCTCTTCTATTGCTATTTTTCGCGAATTGATTATTTCTTTTCGGCGACATAGAAGCTGTATCAGAGTTCAAAGTTGAATTTATGTGATCTATGTACGTTGTAGTTTTATATGAAAAACGGCAATTTTTGGGGTCAGTTGTCCTTTAAGAGACGATGCCTTTGGAATGATTTCTAGAAATGACTTGATGTCATCTCTTTTGTATCCATAACCATAGAGACCATCTTCAGGAAAAACAATGATCTGTGCGCCTCTGGATTTAGCTTTCTTGGCTTGTTCTTCATAAACAGCGAGATTTATCATCATAATTTTTAGAGCGAGTTCTCTTGGTGGAGTTTTGATGCCTGGGATGAAAAATGCAGCATGTTCATACACGGCAGCCACATAGTCCTTTGAATTACTGTGATTCAGTGCAACACAGGAATGAACAAGGAGAAAAACTGCTAACAAGTTGAGGTACATAGTAGAGCTGTTGTTTGGCTGTGGCGTCGGACTCAATCGAACTGAACATACATGTCATCATGTGTCACGTCACATGACAAGAAAATAACTGAACTTTGCCTAGCGTAACGCAATGTCGTTTTAGTTCTCGCTTTGCGTTACTGACTGTCGGCGCTTTGTCGTGGATGATAAGTGGGAAAAGAGGAGGAAAACAGATGGAAATAAAGTGACTATAATCTTGTTCTATACAAAAGAAGGCGAAAGAACTAGACTAAACGTCTACCAATGTTTAATTTCAGTCAGAGACTGATCTTTTATTTTCGCATCAATGGATCCTGTCTGCAACCAATCAATTTTCAAGTGTTCTCATTATCATATATTTATTCGTGTTGATTCGTGAATGCTTTTCGAGGTTCGAATATCATAAAAGGTATATTGGAATGATTCTAAGCTACCGTTTACTGTCACGCTTTCACGTGTAATCTTTTCCTGTAATGAGTCCTGAAGTGATGAACCGGAAATGTGCTTTCAAGTCTTGGTAAGGCTTGGCGGTGGGGCTGGTTTGATGATAACCTGAGTATCACGAGACCTTGGCGGCGGAGGGGTTGGGGGCCTGATACTAAGGTTAGTGTGATGATAAAAGCAAAGATCAGAGGATCCGTGGATTGGGTAGGACGAAGAAACAACGCTATGAGGAATGTTAATAAATAGGCAGCCACAAGGAACCCGGATCCAAAGCTGAGAAGGGTTTCCTGCGCTCCTTAAGTCTTAAAACACGTGTTACGCCGCTGCGCCGACAATAACCAGATGGGGAATTAAGATATCTGAAATAACGCACCATTCAGACCGAATACGAACGTCGAACTTCACATGAGCCGAACCTAATGACATAAAAGAACAACGTCTCATTTTCCATTGTTTTCAATGCGTACGGCTCAAGTGAAGTTCGACGTTGGACCAGCCTTAGATAGTAACAGTCAAAACGAGAGACTCAAAGAGTGCGGTACTTTAATCATAATTCGCTATCTGTTTATATGCTGCGGCAGCCACGTGTCATCCAGTAAAGGCACAGGTAACCCATCTCAGAAAGAAAGATTGTTGTTCTGCTATTTATGACTCAGGCTTGGTTCGTTCGTTCGTTCGTTCGTTCGTTCGTTCGTTCGTTCGTTCGTTCGTTC